ATATATAATATATATTATATATATTATATATAATATATATATATATATTATATATATTATATATATCTACTGGTGCTCTTTTGCATGGCTATGTGTTGAGTATATTTATGCAGATAAGCATGCAGACAAATACAGAAAGTAAACGAACGATTATTTTAATAATAATTATATATACGAAGGAGTCTATATAATAGGCTGCTTGAGATTGAGGCGGTGTACAGACACCTGCGTACTAAACCCTAAACCCTAATGTTGCTGAGGTGCAGCTGGTTTTGTTATTAGTGTTTTGTTGCTTTTTGTATTTTGTGTATTTATTTATTTTATTATTTATTTCTTCTCGCTGATATAAATAATAACAGGTTAAGAGGTTTACTTTGAGCTGTATATACACCTGAGGTGTACATACACCACAAAGTATGTCGATCGGGCTGTTTATAAAACAAGCGGATATACATACACCGCCGATGTATATAATAAATACTTCTTGCATGTGTTTATATTATACAGGTGTCTGTACACCTCAAAGGTGTCTGTACACTCCGCAGGTGTATGTACAGCTCAGATGTGTATGTACACCCGATTGGTGCCTGTACACCTCACAGGTGTATGTACACTCCTCAGTGGTGTCTGTGCACTCCTCAGAGGTGTCTGTACACACCGCAGTGGTGTCTGTACACCGCAGAGGCGTCTGCATGCAGTTGAGGTGTCTGTACACCTTAGAGGTGCCTGTACACCTCAGAGGTGCCTGTACACCCCAATATTTTGAGGGGCAGACGTTTTTTTTCGCGGATGGGGTTTTGCTGTTTGTAATTTTAAATAAATCAAATGCAGCAGCTTCCTAGTTTCTTTAGATTTATACTTTTATAGATATGCAATAGGCAAATATATTCAGGTGTATCTGCACCTTCGGAGGTGTATGCATGCGTGTACACCTCAGCCTATTAGTAGCAAACTAACATATAAATAAATAATAAAAAACAAATATGAACGAGTGAAGGAGGACTAAATAATTAATTTATTAATTGTTAATTGCAGAAGTGCAGCACCAAACATATCTCTATACACCTAATATTAATTATATAATACTAATTATTATTATTATTATTATTATTATTATTATTATTATTATTATTATTATTGTTTATTGTTTTTATTTTTATTTCTTTATTCCCTGACCCCTAACTCAAAACATATTATTGCTGCATCTCTAAGGGGACCTGCAACTTTAGGGTTTAGGGTTTAGGGTTTAGGGTTTAGGGTGCTCTCCTCTTAGGGTTTACGTATGAGGGGTTTCTACTTTCAGGGTTCAGGCTTTAGGGTTTAGGGTTTAGGGTTTAGGGTTTTTTAGCGTTTTTTAGGGTTTAGGGTTTAGGGTTTAGGGTTTTTGCTTCTCTGCCTCTATTCGCTTTTCTCTCTGCACATTTTTTTGTGTTATTTTTGCTTCGTTGTTTGAATATTCATCTCTGTTTGTTTTCTTGTCTTTTGCATGTCTCTCTCTTTGCTGTTTTTTATATCATCGTATTCTACATATATATATATATATATGTATATATGTATAGTATATATTAGCTATATTATGTGTATGCATGTACATACATAGACATATATCTATTATATATATATATATATATATATAGTCATATATATGAAGAGAGAGAGAAATAGCGTTGTTGTTATCAGTGCATATAATATATATAAACCCTATAGCCTAAACCCTCTAAATGTTCAGCGGCGCATGCATACCTGGTTTAATTTACTTCAGCATTTTAATCACTCTAACGATTTGCATGTCTCTAAAGGAGTTAATGTTGAGGGAGATGAATCCGAAGAGGCGTTCAAGGGGTAAATAAACAAAACCCAAAGAAAGAGGAGTTTAAAACAAAGTATGGATCGTGCTGCTGCTGCTGCTGCTGCTGCTGCTGCTGTTGGTGTTGCTGCTGCTGCGATAAAAAACGAATAAAAGACAGACAAATATGCATGCATGCATTTTTTCTGTTTAATGTTTAAAATTATTTTTTTGTGTAGCTGTTCTATAGACGCCGATCTTGGGTTATATAAGGGTATTTTTTGTGTTTTTTTAGATAATAATAACTAAAATATAATTTTAAATCAAAATAAAAGGGAAAAAATAATTATAACAGTTTTTTTCGCTACAGATCGGGAGAGATATTGAACGAAGATTTCATACGGGTATGCTGAGGTGTCTAGACAGCTCAACTAGCTATGCAAAACACTTATCTTATCAATTATAAAGTACATTTTAGTTATTTTGAAGACCTTTTAAGGTATAAATATATCATTTTTATGAATATAATAATAAATTTAATGCATTTGTTGCTGTTTCCCAGACCATCCGGCTGAAATACTGTGAAAAACAAGACAGAATGTAGCACCAACCCTAAGGAAGCAACTTAAAGGAACCTCTTTTTAAATCAATTTCATGCATAAAACCCTTTTAAAAACGAACAAAAAGCATAATTAATTAAAAGAAAATATATACAGAAAGCTGGGGGCCCCAGGGCTTACTTAAATTGAAGTGCTCAGCGCGCGAAGCAGTCGGCTTATTTTCAGCTTCTACGGTTTTCTTGCCTTAAGAAGCAATTTATTATTATATTTTTCTCTTTATTTAATTGTATTTGTTTATTTAATGCTGTAAAATATATTTATTTTCATCCGGAATCTGCATGCATTTGATTTATATACAACCGCACCACTCGCTGACCTTTGCGAGTTTTGCATATTTCTTCTTCTTTTCTCTCTTCTTACACTTTACTCCACACCTCCTTTCTTATCCTCGTCTTTTTAGGGTTTAGGGTTTAGGGTTTAGGGTTTAGGGTTTAGGGTTTAGGGTTTTCAAACCCTCTGCTCTACGTACACTCAGTGGCGCAGTGGTACAACCGCAGGAAATTTTGCTGCATCTGATCGGCGTCCAGGACAGCAGCAGCAGCAGCAGCAACAGCAATAACAGCAGCAGCAGCAGCAGCAGCAAATGGGTTTGCTGCCTTTCTTGCTGCGCAGCAGCAGCTGACCTAAGGTGCTGCATCTGCTGCAGCCGCATCATCCCCTCTCCACAGCAGCATCTCTTAACCTCTCTTATAAATATATATATATATATATATAAAGACGAAGAGGTGCCTATACACCTGAATAGGTGCTGCCTATACACCTGAATTAAGATGGGGGGTCACGGGGGTTTAAATATTTTGCCTCAGAAGCGCTGGCATGTGTATAGGACAGATAATGTGCTGCGAGTGCTGCTTGATGAAAGAGAGTATCAGAAGCAGCTGAAGACTTCGCGACAGCAGCAGCAGAAAGTTGTTATGAATGATGTCCTGACTTTATTTAAACGAAGAAAGAAAGAAGCAACTGATACAGCAGCAGCAGCAGCAGATGATGATGATGATACTGCAGCAGCAGCAAAAGATAATGCAGCACCACCAGCAACAACTCTACACACCTGCTGTTCTCTATTTGAAGAGCAATCAAACACCAGCAGCAGCAGCAGCAGCAGCAGCAGCGCCTCTGCTATTTCCGTTGCACGCAGAGCAGCAGAGCAATCTGCTGCTGCTCCTTCTGCTGCTGCTCCTTCTGCAGCAACAGCATCAACAGAGCGATCTGCTGCTGCAGAAACAGCAGCAACAGCAACAGCAGCTGCTACAGAAGCACCAGTCATAGTGGAGGGTCTGTGGGGCTCTGCTGGCTCTCAGCAGCAGCAGCAGCAGCAGCAGCCGGTGTTTGCTCGCCCGCTGTCTGTCCAGCTGAAAGAGGGTAAAGAAGATGCTCTAGGACAGGTGAAAGGTAAGAAGAGACATATTAATTTATTTGCAGCAGCAGAACATCAAGCAAAGAAGCAGCAAGAAGCGAGACAAAGATACCTCCAGCAGGCAGGCCACTACAGCAGCAGCAACAGCAACAACAACAGCAGCAGCAGCAGCAGCAGCAGCAGCAGCAGCAACAGGGGTGACTTTTCAGTTGTTGCTGCGGAGCTGCAGCAAGGAAGCTGGTATTTAAAAGAAATGCCTTCAAATAA